GGAACTGCTGTAGTCTTTTTTTCCATTTATAAGAAAATCTTTTGAAAGATTCAATCTAAAAAATACAAACCCCGGCTGAGCCCCCTCCCCCCCCCTTCCATGATTCAATTTGAAAAATTTGCGCGTTTTTAAGATTTGGTTTGTTGGATTTTATTAGATTTGGTTTGGACTAATCTCCCCTGAGTATTTACTGGAGTACTTTAACAGACTTTCATCTATTTGAAGAGATATTATTTTATTCCTTAGTGGAGGGGACACTTTTCACAGACAGATAGATATATAAACATAGACAGATGTACCTGTAGACATAGACTACTAGATCTAGACATAGACAGATAGATAGATATAAAAACTCAAGAACTACTTTTGTATCAAACACAATTCACAGTTAGATTTAACAAAAACATTAAAGGAAAAATAGATAAGTTAGACAAAGTAGACAGATTGGATGAAAAAAAATACATTTTTTGTTCGAGCAAAGACAAGGATGGATAGATAGACGTCACAAAACATGGGTCAGATATAAGATATTTAGACACATAGACAGAACAGCAAGATAGAGATAGCCAAATAGACAGAACAGCAAGATAGAGATAGCCAAATAGACAGAACAGCAAGATAGATAGAAAATAGACAGAATAGCAAGATAGAGATAGACAGTATACCTGGACACTGCGGGATGGTGAAGAAATGCAGTTTATATCTTGTTCTCCTTCTATTACAAAGGATTCAAGTATCTCCAGCATTCACAGGTTGGATTTTCAAATACAGGGATCACCACAAAGGATGAGACTTTATGAAACGACAGATAAGTTCTCCGGGTTCACTGCAATTTTAATTAATCATGCTAAAACATGTAGTATTTTATTTAGAACATAAATGCATGGTAGAAAATTATATAGCTTTCAAATCATTATATTTAGTGTGTCAGTCGTCATTAAAATCTCATTCTTAAAGGGACACCCTGTATCAATAAATTATTTTTATTTACACGTCTTGTATACATAAACTTTACTAGTCTGTTTGTCTGTCTGACCGTTTGTATCCAATAAACGTCGAAACGGCTAAACCGATCTAGCCCAAATTTTTCGGCCCAGATAAATCATTTCATAGACAGAGAAAACTGCTGACCAAGATGGTCATGTTTTCAATTCAAAATCAGGCAGAATTTTGCCAATTTGACAAGCGCATTGCAATTTAAAAATGCATGTGTCTAGGGCTACAACAAATTTAAAATTTTGTCTGAGGAAACCCACGGGTACCCACGGGGTAACATAGGCGTAAAAAAATATAAATTTATTTTCCTAAAAATTTCTTTTTTTCAAATAAATTTCTTTGCTTTTAAATTATAATTTTTCAAAATTTCACAGACAACGCCGGGCAATCAGGTAGTATTTTGAAATCTGTTCAGTTGGTGGTATGAAGTGCTACACTAGTGTAGATGTTGATGATAAAGAAGATGGTTCTGCTAGATGTGAAGAAAGACGAGGTTTCAGATCTTGTTTCACAAAATATGATTCAGGTTAATTTCCCTTGGCATTTATGGATCCGGAGCTGAAAAGTTTAGAATTTTATGCCCTTTATATAGAATATTATGATTTATTTGTCGAACACATAAAATTGGTTCAGATATTAGATTAGAACTATAATTCCATTTATACATAGGTTTTCAACTAACGACTTTAATTCTTCTCTAATGTCGTCTTCTTCACAGTCCCGGAGCTGTAACAGGAGATGCTGCAGACATTGCTCAATCTGAATATCCACTATGGACACCTTTGATTTCGTTCTTTTCCTCTTTTTGGTTATCCCTATTACATTCTCGAATTATGGTTTCGGAAACATTTTTATGGCAGACGCTGAACCTTCGAGTGTGCAACTTGCAAGGTGGGAAAGACTTCACTGCCGCGCTTAATTAAAAGCATGATTAAGGGGGGATGCCATTTGTAGATCGAGATTGAATCCTAACCGCAGCACTCGGCCTAAAAAGTGTCATAACTTAACCTAACCCGTGGCCGCAGCGTTCGGCCCCCTAACCTGTCCTAGTCGCAGCGTTCGGCCCAGAATGTGTTTTAACCTAATCTAACCCTAAATCAATACTAATTTAATTAAAAATTGTTGAAAAAGTGGTCATGTACAAAAGTAAAATCTGTAGTGAAGTCTTCCCCACCTCTCACACTCGAAGGTTGGAGTTCAGCGTCTGCCCATTTTTATGAAGTACGAACTAGAAATAGTCTGGAATTTTTAATGTCGTCTTTAAATGATAAATGTACTAACCAAAATATCATTCTTTGCTATGAGACGGGTCTATTAGACATAAACTTTCCTCAAATAGCTTAACCTTACACATTTTGATTTTGAAATTCAACTTGCAACATTCACAAGACTTACCTAAAACACTAACATTTCTGATTAACTTCATAATTCAGGATTTGCACCACAAAAAGGAAAAATACGATGCTGAAATATTTATTTGATATCAATTTTATTCTTTATTATAAATTAAAATTTCAAAAATAAACAAGTGAAGAGTATAAGTATAGCTGGTCAAACCGCTTTAGTTTGTTGCTCCTCTGGTTACGTAGAAAGGCTTTTTTTCTTCTAGGATATGATATCACTGTTCGTTGGTTACATTTAATTATAATCCCCTATATAATGAAGATTTTGGAATCCAAGACGTAAAATTCTTTCTTTGCAGCTCCGTTTCTTGTATCAAAAGTCAAACAAAGCATTTTCGATCACCAATTAATAATATTATAGGCTTAGCACAATAATATGAATTTTAGCCCTCGTACTTTTATCCTTTAACATTTCGTGGTTGATTTCAATTTCACATACAGGGTGTCCCAATAAACATGGGAATTCAGTGATGAATTCAAGATCGTCTTTGTTAAGATTTAGCTATGTAATACCTGATTTCAAAAGCCATAATCTAATTATGTCTGCTAGAACTTATTTTATGAAAAGGGTAAATGGCTGCAATAATGTGTCTATAATCGCTCTGCATGATAAACCGTGCAGCCGACTATGTTAACTGTAATTTTCTTGTTTTACTAAGCACAACTGTATGCAGTCAAAACATAAACAAACAAAATGTTAACATAGCATGACCAAAATCCTACGGATTACAGCTTTCTCAGTAGGTATCACTATACCAATTCAAAGAATTATTTTAAAAGTCGATATCGAATTCGTCACTGAATTCCCATGTTTATTGGGACACCCTGTACATTCTGAGTGAAATTGTGTAAACAAATAGAGTCTACTTAATTTAGTACTGTACAAACAGTTAATAAGGGCCCCGCAATATTATTCCAAAATAGTTGATAAGGGCCCCGCAATATTATTCCAAAATAGTTAATAAGGGCCCCGCAATATTATTCCAAAATAGTTAATAAGGGCCCCGCAATATTATTCCAAAATAGTTAATAAGGGCCCCGCAATATTATTCCAAAATAGTTAATAAGGGCCCCGCAATATTATTCCAAAATAGTTAATAAGGGCCCCGCAATATTATTCCAAAATAGTTAATAAGGGCCCCGCAATATTATTCCAAAATAGTTAATAAGGGCCCCGCAATATTATTCCAAAATAGTTAATAAGGGCCCCGCAATATTATTCCAAAATAGTTAATAAGGGCCCCGCAATATTATTCCAAAATAGTTAATAAGGGCCCCGCAATATTATTCCAAAATAGTTAATAAGGGCCCCGCAATATTATTCCAAAATAGTTAATAAGGGCCCCGCAATATTATTCCAAAATAGTTAATAAGGGCCCCGCAATATTATTCCAAAATAGTTNACAAACACTCTTCTGGTACAGACACACAACATGACTACAGTCAAGGAAATTGTAGAACAATGTCGTCAATTATAATTAAACTTGAATAACGAGTAGTTTATTGTAAACTTTAATCAAATTATATTCTTTGCATGAAAATTTGGCTTATAGTGTTGATAATTAAGTGTATTAATGATAAATAACATGTATATTAAACTTATTTTTAAGTAATCTTTATACATATATAAAGTAATGGTGCTTTATATATAAATAAAGAACTTTTCTTGGTCTTTTTGTGACGAAATTTCTTATTTTATTTTGTTTGACGTTGTATATCTATTAGATTCTTAATGCTGGTCATGTGCATTGTGCTTTTTTATGGCTAGATGCTAAGCTAGGTATTAAAGATCAAGAGACTTTACCATTAGTTGGAAATGTAAACAAACCCCTGCAGTACATTTTATACTGAATTATATTATAAATACACTTTCTTCTGAAATGAAAAGACTCTTTATCCTCTTAATCCTTCCATTATTGCATCTCTCACCTACTATAACTCCTTGAAAACTCCCC